TAAATGTAATTATTTTCTTGTTTTTATTTTCATGTTCGTTGCTAATGTATAAAAATACAATTAATTTTTGTATATTGATCTTGCATCCTTGCTTAACTCATTTATTAGTTTGATGAATTTTACATTTGAATAAATGTGTGTGATCACCAACGAGACAACAATATAGTACATTTCCAAGACCCCCATCATTACTGTACCTCCCCAAAGGTAACCACTATTCTTACTTCTATGACCATTGATTCATTTTGCTTGTTCTTTAACTTCATACAATGCAATCATACCTAGGTAATCTTTTGTGTCTGTCTTCAACATAATGTCTGTGAGACTCATTCATATTGTTGTATGTATTAGTGGTTTTTCCTTTTTAATTGTAGTGTATCATCTGTATGAATATACTACAATATATTGATTTATTCTTCTTTTGGTGAACATTTGGGTTGTTTCTGGTTTGTGGCTATGATGAACAAAACTGCTATGAACATTATTGTATGTGAATTTTGATGAACACACACATGCATTTCTGTTGGGAATAAACCTAGAAGTAGGATTTCTTGGTCAGAGAATAGCACACACTGAAAAAAAAACCCTGCAAACCAATATTCTTCATGATAGTTCAAGTCTTTTGTCAGATATCTTCTAGTGCGGCTTGCCTTTTCACCTTCTTAATGGTATCTTTTGATGAACAGAAGATTTTAGGGTTAATGAAATCCAAGGTATCCATTTTTCTTTTATGATTAGTGTTATTTTTTGCTGGGAAAGATTCGTCCTGAGCTAACATCTGTTGCCAATCTTCCTCTCTTTTTCTTTCACCCTCTGGAAAGCCCCAGGACATAGCTGTATATCCTAGTCGTAAGTCCTTCTAGTTCTATGTGAGCTGCCACCACAGCATGGCTACTGACAGAGGAGTGGTGTGGTTCCACAACTGGAAACCAGCCCATGCTGCCGAAGTGGAGTGTGCCAAACTTGAACCACTAGGCTAGCAGGGCTGGCTCTTGTTAGTCTTATTTTTTGTGTTTGTGTGTCCTGTTTAAGAAATCTTTGCCTACCTTGATGTCACAGATACTCTCTTATGTTTTCTTCTAGAAGCTTTATTGTATTTAGTTCTATTCAATTTTATCACACGTTCAGTTTCATCTGTCTACTACTGCAGTCAAGATATAGAACAGTTCTATCAATACAAGGATCCCCTCTGTTGTCCTTTAATAACCACAACCCTCTTTCATCCTGCTCCTTCCCCCCATCTTTAACTCTTGGCAACCACTAATTTTTTCTCCATCTCTAAAATTTTGGCATTTCAAGAATGTTGTATAAAGTGAATTATTCAGTATATTAACTTTGGGGTTAGTTTTTCTCATAATTCCCTTGAGATCCATCCAAATTGAGTGTATCAATAGTTTGTTCTTTTTTATTGCTAAGTAATGTTCCTTGGTGTTTACATATCACAGTTTAATCGTTCACCCACTGAAGGACATTTAAATTGTTTCTGGTTTGGGGCTATTATGAATAAAGCTGCTACAACCATTCACGTACATGTTTTCTGTGTGAATATAAGTTTTCTTTTCTCTGGGATAAATGCTCTAGAGTGCAGTTACTGGGTGATATGGTAATTGCATGTTTAGTTTTATAGGAAATGCCAAATGGTTTTCCAGAGTAGTTGTACCATTGTACCTTTTCACCAGCTACGTATGTGTGATCTGGTTTCTCTGCATCCCCAACAGCATTTGGGAGTATCATTATTTTTCATTTTAGCCATTCTGATGGGTATGTAGTGATATCTCACTGTGATTTTAAACTTGCATTTTCCTCATGTCTATTGATGTCGAATGTTTTTTCATGTGCTTATTTGCTATCTGTATATCTTCTTTGGTGAAATGCCTGTTCATACGTTTTGCACATTTTCTAATTGCGTTATTCCATTTATGTGTTTTTTTAATTGTTGAATCTTGAGAGTTCTATATTCTAGATACTACTCCTTTGTCAAATATGTGGTTTGCAAATATTTTCCCACAGTTGTTTGTAGCTTGTATTTTTCTTCCTCTTTTTAATGGGGTCTCTCACAGAGAAAAAGTTTTGAACTTTGATGAGATCCAATTTAACAGTGTTTTTCTTTACTGCTGCTTTTGGTGCCAAATCTAAGAACTCTTCATCTAGCTGTAGGTCCCAAGGATTTTCTCCTAATTTCTTTCCTAAAAGCTTTATTGTTTTACAGTTTGCATTTAAGTCTGTGATCCATTTTGAGTTAATTTTTGTGTAAGGTGTGTGGTTTAGGTCGAGGTTCATTTTTTTGGCAAGAGGATGTCCAATTACTTCAGCACCACTCGATGAAAAGGCAACCTTCCTCCATTAAACTTTCTTTGCATTTCAGTGGAGTATATTTGTGCACATCTATTTCTGTGTTCTCCGTTCTGACCCAGTGATCTACGTGTCTATCCTGCCACCAATACCATGCTGTACTACATAGCTCTATAGCAAGCCTTAATTTTAGGGAGAGTGATTCTTCCCACTTTTTCTTTTTCAGGTCTTATTTTTGTTTATTCTTGGATATTTTATTGTTCTTTAGTATTATGAATGTATTTTATTGTTACATTTCCTGATTAGTTATATCACTCACTTTAAAACTAGAAGTTGATTTCTGAGTGTTGACTATGTTGCTCCATATAAGTATGAAAGTGTTTTATTGGCTCTGATGGTAAGTTGGGACAGTGAGGCGGAGCAGGAGGATGGAACAGCTGACACTCTGCAATGAGGCATTAGTACTTTCTCCTCCTTAGACCTGACTCCAGATGCAGGCCTTTTGAACTAGCTTGGTCACCCAGGAAGGCCTGAGGACAATTCAAAGGCGCACCTTGAAGAGGAGAACAGTGGAGCAAATAGCCTTTCTAAAGGTAGAAAAGCTATAGTAATTTCCTAGAAGAATGAGAATTAAATATTGTGCTTTGTCTTGTATTTGTCTCCTATTGGAGAGGGAATTTGCAGAACAGCTTTGCAAAATACAGCAAAGAGAAAATGTAACTGAGAAAACTAAGTAAACCACTCCTCAAATACTAGGGGGATGGACCTTTGCTAAAAACTAGAGTTTTAAACACAGTGTTTTAAAATAATTAGCTGAGCCCTTGGATTTCCATAGGGAGACCCAGGGATGATATTGGGTGTAAAGATTGGAGAAAAGTGATGTTTCTGTGTGTAAGAAAACGTGAGGACAATGGATATTGCTCCAAAAGAGAATGGGGCAGCAAATAGTAAAAGGAGACACAGGAAAGGAGGGAGATAGGAAAGCCAAGCATTTATGAGAAGAGGCTAGAGTCCAAGGAACAAAAATGGCTGAGGAAATTTTTTCATTTGCTTTTTGCTTTTTAAGAAGAAGTTTATTTAAATACAATTTTAAGCTGTGTTGCTATAGTATTGTTCTCTCTGATTCCAAAAATCTTTGGGAAAGTCAGCTTCACACCAAAGACTTGTTGAGTGATTTTTCTCCTAGATGAAGTCTACATAGTCATTTTTTTCTTTGTCAAGAATGAGCTCATTCATGTTTTACCAACTCTGAGCCCTTTTCTCTTAAGTCCCTAGAGTGAATTGGGTGTGCTAGGCCTCTTGTGTGCTATTAGAACTCTTCAAACCCACATTTTACCCTTTACTCTTATTGCCTTTATCTCCTCCTACATAGTGAACTGCTTGTTAATGTTCAATAAATCTTTGTTAAATTTTTGATGGATGGGTGCATAATGCATGGGAAGATGCGTATGAATAAAAGAAAATGGAGGTTACAAGTTCCCAAACCGGTCAAACATCTGATGCCTCCACGGTTTTAGGCAAAATTGTAAGGGAGGTAAAGTTTGTCCTTGTCAATCTCCCCCTACTTCTTTCTACTCTTTCAGTGTCCCTGTCCTCCAGGTAATCAGCCCCTCTGTCCTGCCTGAAAGCTCTCAAAATTCTGCCCCCATCCAGACCTTCCCTTTGCAAAGTTTCTTCTTCTTTCTCCTCTTTCAACTATCAAAGCATCTGCTTTGTAGCATTTGGCTATGTAGTTATCTGATCGATTTAAGTGACCTAAATTAAGGTGTGGCTAAAATTTTGACTATCCCCTTTGAGAATTTGTGCTTTAAAACAGACATCTGTTAATTCATATTTAGCGGGAGGAACGTCTTTTAATGCTTCCTGCCCTGTCCATCCTCTACTCTCTCCTGTTTTTTTAATCTAATGTTCCAGAAAGTAAAGTACGTGGAATGAGGATCATATCATTTGTTGAGGCCACTTTTAAAGACGATAAAATTAAGGGCCAGAGAACGTGACTAACTAGTAAGATGTACAGTCAGGCAGCAATAGTAAAATAGTGACTGTTTAAGGAGTTAAGAGTGGGCTTTCACGGTGAGCTACTAATATTGCCAACCAGAAAATTAGCTTCTGGTTTCAAAGGGCACAATCCCTTTTGCGAAGCCATTTAAGGCCTCCCCGAAATTCCCAGAGTCTAGATAGTACACTCCCTCTCAGAAAGTCTGAGTCCTTTTGCCTTTATCTTTTTCCTTCCTATCCAGTTCCTGCAAATAGTTGAAAACAGTGGGAATAACCTACATTTTTAAATTAGATATCTAAATAAAAAATGAGAAATGACTTGCCAAAAATAGGCTTGGATGTAAAGAACTGAATTTAATTACTCTGACTAGACTAGGTTACCTACAAAAATAACCTGGGGTCGTATGGACCAACAGGAACAACTTCTCTATTGTTTATCATTTATGGCCATAAACAGTTAGCACAAAAGGAAATCTCAGAGTCTATCTGGTCAGTGAAGGACCTTAGGCCCAACAAAGTTGAATGTATCTCAAAAGCCAGTCTGACTGATCAGGAGAGTGAGGACCAAAAGTGAGCACTTGAATTTCTAAACTGAATGTTCTTTCCATTCTGCTGAGATGTTCCAATGGGTGGTCGTGGAAATCTGGAAAAGCTTGGTGGTGTGGGCACTCCATCTATTGCCCACCATTCCCAGTCACAGCACACAACAGTAACATGGAAACTTCTTTTAATAAGCTTTTCATCACTTTCATTGTGATTCTTAAGTTGTTGGTGACTTTGACGTAAACTATACAAACGACTTTCTTTCAATCATAATGTAACTTGTTCAGCGAACGAGACATAATCTAAGGAGGGTTCAACAGGGTCATTATACTGTCATCTCAGAATTATCTCTGATACTCCTACTAATTTTCATACAGACCCAAAAAACACCTTCAACCCTGAAGGGAAACCTCTGTGCTAGTTTGTTTGTTTGGTTTTTTTGAGATCTCTGTCCTTATATCTAAGATTAATTTTTTGTCTTGTCATCATCACTTTTCTCAGTTAAATTTCTGTCCTCATCATCCCTGTCTTTGGTCATTTTCTTTTTATTACCCTCAAGTCTACTGCTCGACATGTCACTAGTCTCATTCCCTATTGTCTTCTCTGTCTCAGGCCGTAGCTTTACTGTGTCAGCTGGCTCTATCTCAGTAGCTAACCTTGCCTGAGTTATTAACCCTTCCCTTGTTACTGATTCATATCCTATCTCTGGCTCTGTCTGAGTCCTTGACTCAGCCTGGGCCTCGGGTTCAGGCCGAGCTCCTAGCACTTTTCGGGTCTCTGGGCCTGTCTGAGTTTCTAGCTCTGTCTGGGTCCCTGCCTCTGTTTGGGTCCTTGATCGTGGCACTGAATTTGACTGCCTTTCTTGTGCCTGATTCATCCATGGAGAAATACCTACATTTGTCTCAGATAGACCCAATTCCACTGTGGCTATATTTCTTATCCTTGTCCTTGTTATGGGGATCACAAGGAGATTTTGATCTGGAGAAGAAACCCGAGAACTTATGTGATTGAGTCCAGAGAGGAGACCTGGAGAAAAAGAAAATGTTAGGGTCAGCATTGTGGATTAATAATAAATAAAATCTCAAGTCATCAAACACCCCAAAGGGTGGCATTGGCTTAATTATAGTGGACTTTGTTTAACAATATTTCTGAATATCTGTTCATTATCTTTAGGGACCTGGCATTCAAAACACTGACCCCAGCTTTTCTGTAGTATGGTGTTTCCCAGGGATATGCAAGCCAATTCATTGGGGTGCAGGAAGAAAATAGTAGTTTTCTTTGCATTTTTAGAAAATTGTGCTTTAAATTCTATTTTTGAGAATATTTTACAATGTAATAAACATATTAGTGATGTAATACATGTACATATTTTATAAATAAACATTATCTTTTTTGCACGCTTGCTAAAAAGTATTTTACTAATAGGTTCTGTGATGCAATGGTCTGGGGACTACTGTTGTAGTTAATTAATAAAAATAAGTATGTGGCTTAGAAGGATTAAAGGAGAAGTGTTATATAGGCAAAACTCCTATGTTATTACTCTGATTTATATTGGTAATATTCAGAAGAACACACGCTGACGCTTTATTTTGAAGATCCGTAAAAGTAGAGAGGTTATTTGATATGATAAAAAGAGAGGGGAATTTAGGAACTTTCTTTTAGAAGGACAGAAGAATTTTGCTCCTGTCTGCAGAGGGTTATTATGGAAAAAATGTTTTAGATAAATTGGAAGCACTTGCTTTTAAGGATTGTACACTGACATGGAAATGCCTTCTACAGAGCTCCTCCAAACTGTGGGATTCTAACATACCAAGCAAACGACAAAAAGAAAGAAAAAAGAGAGAGGGAGAAGGGTCAACCATGAAGAACTGCCTTTTCTGTGCCTTCTCTGTTTAACAGGAGCATTAACTCACCAACTAACAGGTAGATGATGCAGCCCCACCAATTAAGACGGTAGACTAATAGGAAACGGGGCTCCAAGACGTTCGCACTGTACAATTTCACTTGCATCAGGAACAAAATGAGGCAGAGAAGTAGGCAGGTGCCTGGGATCAGAAGGAAAACTATCACTACCCATCATAACCCTCCTTCTGTCATCCTTCCCATTCCATCCTCCTCCCTCTCTTTGCACTTCCTTGTCACCCTCAGCCATCTCAGCTATGCCATGGAGGCCTATGACATGGCAATGGTCATGAGAAGACCCACTTGGCAATTACTAAGATGGGAGAGTGAAGGGGTTTTGCTTTGACTAGAATAAGGTTGTCAAAGTGGAGCCTGTAAATAAGATGGACAAGACAGGTAGCTAGCTAGCTACATAGTAATATTCTGGGTGCCAGAAGGGTCTCCAGCCTATAATATCTCCCCACTAGTCCATCATATAACAACTCTTAGGGATGTTTCCATTGCGTTAAGCATAATCTCTTCAGGGTCCCCTCTTTAAGAGGCACTAGCCGTGTAAGGAGTAAAAGTTTATCAAAAGCTTTCTTCTCTTTGGGAAGAGACAAGGGTCCTATGATAGCAATATTCATGTGAGACTGGGAATGACTTGGTAAAAGAAGGGGAAATGGCACAGGAAGGCGAATAAATACAAGACTTTAGGGACAAACTTTTCCAACCTCATCATGTTGTACCTGAGATGAAACAGAAGATGGATATGCCCAGATCTACGTAGGTTTTGTCTCCTGGCCTTTTGGTGAGAGAGATGCTGAGCCATGTAATAATAATGAGGATGGAGAGGGCAGAGATGAGGAAGAAGGTCCTGGAGTATTGGAGATAGTCTGCCAGGGAAAGGGGAAAAGGAGAAGCTTAGCTGGAGTAGAGGTGACCTACCCGTAAGGAAGGCTAGATGGGGTCTAGCGAAGGGAGTGAAGGACAGAGAAGGATGGAATTAGGGTTTGTCTTACATGTAATGGAGTCAGAGTAAGAAGCTACCAAGTGGGTGGCTTCACAGGCACCAGTAAGGACCCTCTTCCCATCTCCTCATTAACATGTGGAATTTCTTTAACAAGGAAAGAAATAGTTTATTCCACAATGAGAGAAAAGTTGAAATTATAACTATAACCTTGGGAGGTATGTTATGAAGTAACTTTCATTTTAAGTTGTAAATAACTAATATTTCTTTTTCTGAGGGAAGTTGTGAGTGTAAAGGTAAGAGAAACACAAGGTCACTAGGCATTAGCTTCCGATAATTAAGAGGCTATGGTTTTTAAGTCATTGGGGGAATCTAGTCAAGACAAACTTGGGCAAATTTACCATGTTTGGAGGAGCTGTCCAGACATGCTTGTGAATGAGGGGAGAAAAGACGGGGCAGGGTTGTGGGAAGCAGACCGGGGGAGTGGCAAGCTGTGGGGAATCTGAGCAGATGTAGCAAAGGAGGGGGCTCTAGGATTTGGAAAGCACTCACAGGGTGCCTCTGGTCTGTGGCTCCAGCAGAGATCATTGTGGCACAAGGTCCAGAGCCCCGCCAAGAGCTTCTTCTTGTCTTTCAGTACCGTGAACTGCACCCAGTGGAAAGGAGTCAAGCAGAGCAGCAAGACAAAGGTGAAGCCCATGAGGCCAGCACAGAACAGGCGAACGTAGCTTTGGGTCAGGAGCTGTCGCTGGTGGGGTGCCATAGAATAGAAGCGGTGCACGCGGTAGGGGAGAACTGGCTGTGGGGAAGGAAAGAGAGTATCAGGAAAGGAAGCTCATCTCAGGTATCTCCATCCCCACTCACAGTAAAGACAAGCCCTGGGCCCCACACAGGGGGGAGTTCCTCCTCCCTCCACACTTCAGGGTCTTTTTCTCCCCTGGCTCCAGAGCCTCCCACAGATTTTTATTTTTTAATATTAACTTTAAAAAATTATTCCTTTTTCACCTGTCCCCAGTTTAAAAAAACAAATGGAGTGACTTTTGCTTCTCCCACCTTGATATTCCCCCCTTGCCATACACAAGCTGCTTTTCCAAAAAGACTCCACCACTACCCAGCCTACAAAAGGCTTCCGCACCCTGTGTGTTGGGTAGTCCAGTATGCTGGCATTGTAAACACCTTCGAAGGTCATGGCATGTCCATCCCTTCTTTTCATCCTAGCTTCTGGCTCACTGCTCTTCTCAACTGCCATAGAACCCAACCTGCTCTGCCCTAACACCCTTTCCTTCCCATCCCCCACCCCAAGGGACAGAACCCACAGGAGGCAGAACACATAACAGGAGTAAAATGTCTCTGACTCCTTTGCTAGATCTGGTCCAATTCCTTTCTCCCACCCAGGTCTCTGCTGAGCTTCAGACACCTACAGCAAACTGCTTGCCAAAGCCAGGTTTCTCACAGACACACCACACCCAAGAGGTCTTTAAGAAATGGAGACGTTCTCTTTCTCTCCACCCTGTGCCCTTGTCCTGTGCCCTTTTCTATCTCCCACCTGTCGATCACAATGTGTCCTGCCAATTCTCCCTCTTTAATGTTCTCATGCCCATCTTATATTTCTGTTTCCACTCCCTTAGAACATCTCTTAGTCATCTCGGTCCTGGATTTCTGCAACAGCTTTTTCCCTGGTCTCTCTGCTACTAGACTTGCTCTCCTTCATTTTGTTCTCCACAAAGTTACCAAGATTTGTGCCTCTGAAATACAAATCTTATTATATCTCTCTTCTGCTTAAAATACTCTGATTGCTTCCCACTGCTATGAGGTAAAATCATAACTCGTTAACATGAATTGGTAAAACTCAGCAAGATGAAGTTTCTGCTTGCTATCCAACCTCATTCAATCATTCACTACTTCCTCTGTGCCCAGTGTTGTCTTAGTACTGAGGGTGCAGTGATGTGTTGGGTATCTTCCATGTGTCCCTCTGGAGCCACTCTCCATCCTTGTTCAAGGAGGTTGATTGATATGGACTACATCAACGTGTTCCCTTGCCATCCAGCTTCTGATTAGATTTGACCAATGGCAGGCACAGGCAGAAGGTCAGAGGTCCAGAGATCAGTGTGTTTATTCACTGATTCTCTCCTCACCAGATTATTGAGGGTTGTCCATGTCCCTTTACGTAAGATAGAGCTCCTGACAGGCAGCCCTCTCCATAGAGCCACTCTTTTCTGTTCCTACTAACTGCTCCTTTCACTTAAGTGATCAGGCCTAGGAATGGTAATGACTTTTCCCACTTATGATTTTCCAAAACAATTTTCAGTTCAAAGGGGACCTTGTAAATAGTCCCTTAACTCTCGCAGATTAACAAGTTTGAGCAAACCATCTGTTTCCTGCCAAACATGGTCCTTATTGTCATGCAGCAGAAAGCCTAGAGACATCTAGGCTCATTCTCTCCCTCCTTCTCTCCTTGTGCTCCAAACAATTTTACTCTTTTTATGGTTTCTTAAATCCATGTTGGTCCTCCCTTTGCACATGGTACAAATGGTATCTATCTTGCACAGGGTATCTCTCACACTTCCCACCTCATTTTTGTCTGAGTTAACATTAGTCAAGATTCATTTTAGTCTAACCTTTTCTAGGAAGCCTTTTCTGAATCCAACCCTCAATCGCAGACTTTGTGCTCCTACAACACTTTATGCTTACCTCTTTCATAACCTTTATGCATAGTATTACAATTTGTCTGTATTTCCTTCTGGTTTGTGAACTCCTTCACCAGCAAGAACATATCCTATTCAGCTGTGTATACTCAACATCTGGCACAGTGCTTGGAACATTATAATGATTCAGGGGATGTTTTTTGATGGAATAAAAATAAAAAAGGTAAAAAGAGAAAGGGTGGACTTCTGGTTTCCAGCCTGACATGCAAGGAACTTGGAAGTTGTCACTCCATTATAACAACAAGCAAAAAGCTAAAGAAACCGAAAAATCAGTAACAACTATTCTTAGATTTGTCAGAGAAGTGAGATCACGAGGCGAACTGTAGCCCCCAAAATTGGAGAGAGAGGAAGGTGAATACAGAGAATCACAACTTACTAGAGCGGAAACCTCTGCAGGAACCAATACCAGAGAAGAAAAATCTGAACTGTAATTGATGAATTGCTGGAGGCTCAGCATGGACAAGTCTCAGAGATTAAAAACTTTGGGGAGGGGCCAGCCCTGTGGCCGAGTGGTTAAGCTCGTGTGCTCTGCTTCAGCGGCCCAGGGTTTTGCCAGTTTGGATCCTGGGTGCGGACATGGCACTGCTCATCAAGCCATGCTGGGGCAGCATCCCACATGCCACAATAAGAAGGACCCACAACTAAAATATACAACTATGTACTGGGGGGATTTGGGGGGAAAAAGCAATTAAAAAATAAAAAAGAAGATTGGCAACAGTTAGCTCAGGTGTCAATCTTTAAAAAAAAAAACTCTGGGGAGACCCAGTTGTAGGGAGATCCCCACACTTTAGTGAATTTTGCCTCCAGGAGCATGGCTGATGAGTGGAGTAGGTCTGTGCCCGGGATCCAAACCCACAAACCCAAGCCACTGAAGTGGAACATGCCAAACTTAACCACTACACCATGGGGCCAGCCCTACCATCACATTTCTAAAGGCCTATTTACTACAGTTCCTTTTACCCAGTACATCATGTCCAGCTATCAAGAAAAAATTACAAGGCATACTAAAAGGCAAAAAACACAGTTTGAAGAGACAGAGCAAGCATCAGAACCAGACTCAGTTATAGCAGGGACATTGGAATTCTCAGACCTGGAATTTAAAACAACTATGATTAATATGCTAAGGGCCCTAATGGATAAAGTAGATGCATGCAAGAACAGATGGGCAATGTAAGCAGAGAGACGGAAATCCTAAGGAAAAAATCAAAAGGAAATGCTAGAGATAAAAAGAAAAACTCTAACAGAAATGAAGAATGCCTTTGATGGGCTTATTAGTAGACTAGACACCACTGAGGAAAAAAATCTCTGAGCTTGAGAATATGTCAATAGACACCTCCAAAATGGAAATTCAAAGAGAAAAAAGAGTGAAAATAATGGAATGGAATATCCAATAACTGTGGGATATCTACAAAATATGTACTATACACATAAAGAGAAAGGAATAGAAGAAATATTTGAAGCAATAATGACTGAGAATTTTCCCAAATTAATGTCAGACACCAAACCACAGATCCATGAAGCTCACAGAACACCAAGCAGGATAAATGCCAAAAAAGAAAAATTACATCTAGACATATCATATTCAAACTGCAGAAAATCAAAGATAAATAAAAAAAATTGGGGGGCTGGCCCAGGGGTGCAGCAGTTAAGTTCACATGTTCTGCTTCGGCACTTGAGGTTTGCCTCTTTGGATCCTGGGTGTGGACGTGGCACTGCTTGGCAAGCCATGCTGTGGCAGGCGTCCCACATATAAAAAGTAGAGGAAGATGTGCACAGAGGTTACCTCAAGGACAGTCTTCCTCAGCAAAAAGAAGAGGATTGGCAGCAGATGTTAGCTCAGGGTTAATCTTCCTCAAAAAAAAAAAAATTGAAAGAAGCCAGAGGAAACAAAACACCTTACTTATAAAGGAGCAAAGAAAAGCATTACATCTGACGTCTCCTCAGAAACCACACAAGCGGGCCAGCCTGGTGGAGCAGTGGTTAGGTTCGCAGGTTCTGCTTCTCGGTGGCCTAGGGTTCGCTGGTTCGGATCCCAGGTGCAGACATGGCACTGCTTGGCACGCCATGCTGTGGCAGGCGTCCCACATATAAAGTAGAGGAAGATGGGCACGGATGTTAGCTCAGGGCCAGGCTTCCTCAGCAAAACGAGGAGGACTGGCAGTAGTTAGCTCAGGGCTAATCTTCCTCAAAAAAAAAAAAAAAAATAGAAAGAAAAGAAACCACACAAGCAAGAAGAGAGTGGAGTTTACATGTTGGGAGAAAAAAAGCACCAGTCCAGAATTCTGTACCCTGTGAAATTACTTTAAAAGTGAAGGAGAAATAAAGGCTTTCCTAAGCAAAGAAAAATTGAGGGAATTTGTTGCTAGTAGACCTACCTTGCAAGAAATATTTTAAAAAGTTCAGAGAGAAGGAAAGTTATATAGGTTAGAAACTTGGATCTATGTAAAGAAAGAGCAATGGAGAAGGAATAAGTGAAGGCAAAATAAGCACTTTTACTTTTCTTCTTCTTAAGTGATCTAACAGATAACAATTTGTTCAAAATAATAATAGTAACTATGAATTCATTTCTGTACATTTATGTATATACATACATGTGTATGAATGAAATGAATGACAGCAATGATACAAGTAACAGGAGGGAGAAGTCACCATTTTTTTTTATTATAAGGTACCTGCACTACCTGTGAGCAGTGTAGGAGTTGGATTCGTTGTAAATGTATTTTTGCAAATTCAAGGTTAATCACTAAAAAAAGTAATAAAGAAGTATAACTGATATGCTAAGAGAGAAAATGGAACCATATAAAATGCTCAGTTAAAACCATGAAAGGCAAAAATAGAGTGGAAGACAAAAATAGGAACAATGAACAAGGGCAACAAATAGAAAATAGTAACAAATATGGTAGATATTAATCCAATTATATCAATAATTAATTTAAACATCCATGGTCTAAATATACCAATTAGAAGACAGAGGTTTTCACAGGGGATTAAAAAACAAGACCCAACTATATATTGTCTAAAAGAAGCCCACTTTAAATATAAAGACACATGTAAATAAAAGACAAAGGGATGGAGAAAGATATACATGCTAACACTAATCAAAGGAAAACAAAAGTAGCTATATTAATTTCAAACAGAGGAAACTTCAGAGAAAGGAAAGTTATGAGGAATAAAGAGGAGTGTTACATAAGTGATTATAGCAAGGTTGCAGGACATAAAATTAATATACAAAAGTCAATCACTTTCCTATACACCAGCAATGAACAAGTGGAATATGAAATTAAAAACACAATATCATTTATATTATCACTCCCCAAAACGAAATACTTAGGTATAAAGCTAACAAAATACATACAAGATCTATATAAGGAAAAACACAAAACTCTGATGAAAGAAAACAAAGAATTAAATAAATGGAGAGATATTTCATGTTCATGGATAAGAAGACTCAATATTGTCAAGATGTCAGTTCTTACCAATTTGATTTATAGATTCAACACAATCTCAATCAAAGCCCCACTGAGTTATGTGTGGATAACAACAAGCTG